TAACATTTAACTCTTCCTTCTCACTATTAATTTATTAAGTAACATTTATGTTTTTTTTTAGCAATATTTTTTTGCAATTAAAAACTATTTTTAAGTCCCATTGTAATCCTGTCCTTTTTTTTTTTTATTTTCAGCTAGCTCATTCCTATTCGGAGAATTCCTCTAGAGAACCTAAGAGAAACACAAACAAACCAATCTAATTAGATACAAGCGGGAAGAATTTAAAATAATCGACAAAAGTTTCTTTGGGAACAAAGCAAATGGTCAAGGTCAAATGTAGATTCACATTCCTTCAGAAATGTCTCATAGAAAAACAAAAAACTGTCAATTATCAAGTTTAATTGATTAAATAAACAAAGAATGAAAAGAAAATATAAATAAATAAAGACAATATAAAATAATTATCACACAACTGTTGCTATATTATATTCAAGTATTATCACCTTTTCTCCATGAAAAAATAAATAATTGAATTGTGAAAAAGAAGAAGTATTATATATTGCTAAAAACAATCTTAACAATATATTATTCTTCACTTAAATAACTTTTAAATTAAGTAAATATTTGTAAGAATGATAATGTTGATTGTAACATGCCATTTGGCCTGTTCTATACATTTCTATGCATTATAATTAATTTTAAGTTATATGATTTTATTGTAAGTATTGCTTTCTTTATACATAGTTTTGATTCACGATTTTCATGAATGTTGTTTCTGGCTTTGCCACCATTTTTTTATTTTGCCCATTAAAAAATCATAAATATGACATTAACATCAGAGTATGCCCCATATTTTTGTGGAATAACATGAATTTCCTTATTTTTTTCAATTTTTCAATGCAAACGGAGAAATGTTTCAGTTGTAACTTTTTTTAAAAAATCCTCCAAAATAAAAACACAACTGTTTATCAATCATTACTCCAAAAATATCCACTCATCAGCAATCCAGATCATGTGAGAGCCATTGTCCAGCAGCACAACCAATTTACACTTCACTCATAAACTGATCAGTTAGAAGCTGACAGGACTTAAGACTATAGGTCCGTGGAAAATTGGCCAGTTCATTACCAATGCTTCTGTAATAATGTCTTTCTTGAGTGTTGTCCATGACAAATGCAAATGCTTTTTCTGCATACAATAGTCAAATAATGATCTCTCCCACATGGGCTGATTCTACAGAACATGAACATCAATTTACTGAAGAATGGCTGAAGTATTATCATCAATTTTGCAGATGACTTCATTTTCTGGTACACAAAAGTAGACAAAGAGTTCAGTCACTTTTGGCCATAAAAATAAAAACTACCTTCCCTTAGTTGTAGGAATGATAAAATGTCAACTAAGTAGCTATAAACCAAGTAACTGGTAAACTATTAAAAAGTGAAAATGTTTTGATGGAACATTACCATCTTAATTAAAATAAAAAAAGTTGATATCTTAAAAAATTAAATTCACAATACTTTCAGCTACAAGGGAATTCTAAACTGCTTTTTTAAAAACTCAATATCAAATAAACAAAAATTAGATTGAGGAGAAGGATGGTAGGGGTGATCAGACAAAATAAAAATAGTAAAATTAAATAATTATATTTATTTTTATATTTGCCGACGTTTCGGCCCGAAGTTTAGGCCTTCATCAGGGCTAAGAAAAGAACCAGATAACAATAGGTATGAGAAACTATAAACATTGAATAATAAAGAATTAAAATTAAAAATGTGAAAGATATAGACTAAAAATGCAGGTAGAAAAAATTTAAAGTAACATGAAGTAGGTAGAATAATAAAAATAACAGAGAACTAAAAAATAAATAATAATAACGGCAACAAAGTACGGACTTATGAAATAAACATAAGCAAAATAAGGTAACATAAGAAATGAAAAATGGTAATCTTAGAATAAAATGTAAAACAGCGGGAGAAAAGGAATATGAAGTTATATAACAAAATAATAGATATAAATAGAAAATTGAGCTATTGTAAAATCTATCAAAATTTACTGACTATGTATAAAAGAATAAAAAGTTAAAATTTTACATTTTATTATTTTTTTAGTTCTCTGTTATTGTTATTATTCTACCTACTTTATTTTACTTTAATGTTCACTCTATCTACTTCATTTTGCTTTAAGTTTTTTCTATCTACATTTTTAGTCTATACCTTTCACCTTTTTAATTTTAATTCTTATTATTCAATGTTTCTAAAAATATATAATACTACTTATATTTCCAGAAATTTGTTTTCAAACTAGGAAATTGTTTCTCCTATATATTTCCTTATTTTAAAAATAAAATTCCTTCATACTTTATATTTAGTCATTTACTATTGTTATCAACCATGAGAGACTGTTAATTATTTCAAATTAACAATATTAAAGGTACTTTAGGGAAAGGCATTTTCAAAATTTGGCATTTAAGCCCTATCGGACTATGTTATTGAGGATACTTAATGTTATTGATATAGCGGATGTAGGATATAGCGATTGGATTTACTGACTCGATTTCTGAGTTTTTAGAAATAATTATCGTATATAGCGACAGTCCTAAAACTAACAGAATTCCTAAAAACCTTCGTGTTTATACCTTACTCATCGAGGAAATATTTTATTTCATTCGTTCTCTATGTAAGAATCACATTTATAGGGTCAATTTCATTCCCACTCTTAGTGTTAAATTCATATTTCTGTTTAGTAGTTTAATAAGAATAAGGAATAACAAAAATTTCTAGATATAAGGAAAATTCTATATGTTGTCGACTGGAGACTGAAGAGTCTAATAATATCTTGGCTCAAGAATTCAAAGAATTCAACATAAATCTTACAATTTGAAAAAATTGCGAATCTAAAAGAGGATATGCTGAATTATTTATATTCAAAAAACAGATTGTAATTCACCTTGAATGAAGACATCAAAGTCAATCAAAGTAACTGACTTTAATATCACATTAGGGCAGTCGGATAGTCGTTGGTTGAAGAAAATATTCAAATAGTCTGTTTCTCTTCGGTTTTTATATTTTTTTTTTGGGATACAGAATCTGAATTTGACTTTCCCGAATGAAATGTTCTATTGTGTGTCTATGTAAAAACATTGCAATTTACAAACTTTTTTTAGTTTTTTGGACATGACTCCGAAACTGTTCATTTTATCGAAATTATTATTGTATACAACATTGAAGAAGATAAAATTTACTACCAAATTTATGCATCATTTTTTGATGTAGGGTTAACGGGTGAGGAGTAAGAGAATATTGATTGTTTGCATTTTTCACAAGAAAAATCTCTTTTTGTTGGTTTTCCCCAAAAACTCATAATATATGCATGTATTGAAGAAATTCAATATAATCAATTAGAAAGAGCATTAAGCTTCGTATGTAGCTCATACAGACACGTTAGTATGTAAGAAGATTAAACGGCTGTTAAAGCTCAGAGAATCAAAGCCGTATTTTCCTTTTAGTATCTGCCGCTCTAAAACTAAGTGCTTTTTATCGTTTCAATGCTTTATTTTCGGCTAATTTAACTATTTTATAACAACTTATAATGTATAAACAAATTACATAGCTTTTGTATATTCTGCTAGTATGAGAGACTTCAATATGCAGAACAATCATCACAAAATTAAGGAGCAAAATCTGTTTTAAAAGTCCGAGCAGTCCAACGACATTTTGCTTACTCGCATATTACGACAAGGGCGAGAGTTAATGCTATATTGTCTTTCAAAATGTAAAAAAACATTAAATCATGTCAACGATCCGCGGCACCCCTGTAGCCCCGCCCATGTGATGGCTCTGACTACATCAGTCATCAGGTTCCAAGGGATTCAATCAATAATGAAGTGGCAGCGAAAATTATAAACAATTTCTAGTCTCATCATTTTGGAAAAGTGGTAGAGCATAATTATCATTAGTGTTCCCATATCAATCGATATTTTGCTGTCATACATTAAAATTCAACGATTAAAGCAACTCACATGTGTGGGCACAGCACCACGAGTTGCCGGGCAACCGGATAACAGATTTGAGAGATTAAAAAACAGTATAGAGTTCGCATTCTGGTGCCGGAGGGGATTTTAAATTACCCGGCCTGAGAAAATCCTGTACGGCCTAAATGGCAAGGTAGGGAAGAACAGAAAAAAAAAACTTACATGTGTCTGAAAAGGCATTCTTCTCTTCAATATTCTCAGATTAACCATTGCAGATGGTAAGCTATTCATATAAATTGCAAAGAACAATAATTCGCCTTTATGATCATAGTAACATTGAATTTGGAGAAAATCCTGAGAAGTTATTAATGCTTTAGAGTAAACTGCAGGATTATTTTGGATCTATTTCTTCATTTCCTAAAATTTTAATGCTAAATACTAACATTTTAAATATGTAATACTAAATGACTTTTCAATAAAAAATGATGATTTATTCTTCTATAATATAATTTAATCCTGTTATCATTCATAAAGAACTAAATGACATGCGATAACTATCTCACAGTAACCAAGATGGTACAAGAATTAGAATCAGCCAGTGGAATATCACAAAAATGGTAAATTTTTGGTTAGAAACACAGGACCAACTCTAGATGACAGCATCGAAATCTTTTAACCCATATTCATCTCGTAGATCATAATCCGCTGCATTACTACTGTCAGAATTTCGAAACAGCTAGAACTTTTATTAAATTTGTTGGAACAGAGATTGGATTCAATTGTCAAAGGCATTACTTCTTCATGAAATCTCATTTTTTAAAGACATAATTTGTTAAAACACATTGCTTCTAAGAGTTGGAACAAAGATCAATAGTACCGAGTCAATGAAGTGATGTTCCCCTCCTCAAACATGTTGGTTTAGGATCCAATTTCATAATTCTTAACTGTTCACAAAAGGAGGTGCCTTATAAATGAATTAAAGACACACACTTCAGCAAGAAAAATAATTACAGAAACCTTGAACCATTCAAATATTAAATTATCAAGATGCAGTAATTTTGTTTATACAAAGAATATAATACAATACCTCTTCTAACGTCGAGTTGGTAACAGGATAGTGTTGGCTTTCTTTGCTCTCTTCCAGCATCTTTCTATAAGTTTCATCACTCAAAGGAAACACTCGTGGTTCGTAAGGTGAAACCTAAAAACAATTTGAAGCAATTAAAATCTGTGACAAAATAATATTCAACAGGAAATGACATTAGTACTAAATATAGTACTTTTCTCACTATTACTTTTAATGCAATAATTTAGTCAGTTAAGAAATATTTCAAGTGGCATGAATAAATAAGAAGCATGCCATTAATGTTGCAACAATACTGGTCTTACATGCTTGACCAATGTCACTGCCTCTCTGAATTAAAAAAAAAAAAAAAAATCTGGTGCGCACAACACACAACTTTCACTTATCGCTCTACTTTGAATAGAAATTTTTTTCTGGGCATGCTGGGCTATTATAAAATTTTTGAAGTATACTTTTAACTGTTAAAATCATGAAAACCATTAATATTAAAACCATCTGAACCTTTCTTTCAGTTGACAGAATGATCAACTCCAATATATAAGCGTATAAAAAAAAACGTTTAAGACCTGGTAAAGTGACATCAATAGGGATGAGACCTAAATGATATTAAAGACCAGTTAATAATACACTGACATACAGAATTTGATAAAAATTGTTGGAGCCGTTTTTGAGAAAACCAGAAAAATGTGTAACATCGAAAATATAAATGCCACTTCCAGTTAGCTGATTTTGACGAATAAGTTGCTCTGACATCTGAGGTATATACATACCACAAATGCACAATTTCACTTTTATACGACTTATCTGTTATGAATATCTATTTTGAAAAGGATTATAATAGACAAATTATAATAGATTATGAGGAGAGGACAGAACAGTAGCCAAAGGGATATCGTACTATATTGATTATAAAATTTATTCAACTCCCTATTAATCTCTTAAGACTACAATTGTCAGAGTATTAAATATTTAAAATAATACAGGGTTATTTTATATATATATATATATATATATATATATATATATATATATATATATATATATATATACAGGTATATTTTTTAAATTTTCATTACCACAATGAGAAGTGCTTAAGCAAGGAAGATGTAGTAATTAGGCTAAGATTCACCATTATAAATATTTCTTTTTGTGCTTTGGAGACCCTACACCAACCCGAAATTCAAACAATACATTTTCAGACATTGCTCTGGGCATGTGCCATAACTAACTCACAAGCGGATAAACCAATTTGTTGTTCTTTATTTATTTTTTTTTTATACAGGCAATAGTGCATTCTAAAAATCATGATTTTTTGACATTTTTCACAACTTAATGATTTCGATGAAACTTCCTAAAATATTCTCCTTAAATCACTTCCACCATTCACATACAATACATCTTAGAAAAAAAAGTTACAACAAATCTGAACAGTGTTTATATACTTTTCCTTACCTCAGGTAACTGTGGTGGTTGAGAGCTACTAATCGTTCGCTTTCTGCCAGTTTCAATCTCCGATGGCGTTGGAGGTGGACTTGCAAGAGATTCTTCTGCAACAGCTGTATTATCTTCCCTCGGTGACATGCCATCTAAATTACAAAAATATATTAAATTTTACGATAATACAAAATGACTACAGTAGGTTTAAATAATAACTAAGTAGAGGAATAAAAACCAACCAGGTGTATTAGGACCACTAGAATCTGCTCGAGAATCAGTTCGTCGCTGACCACGACCTCGGCCCATGCCACTGTTAGGTAGTTTCAGGTAACTCAAAAATTTTTTCTTTTCATCAACCTCACACCGTTCATGCCTAGCTATTGCAGCTTCATCGCTGATATCCTCTTCACCCTACAAAAAAAAGTGTAAACTTGGTAAATCTAGAAACAAAAGATTGATAAAATTTCATTTTTAAATATAAAATGAAACAATTTAATAAAAGTTTTTTAAAAATTTATTTTAGAAAATTAAAAAATTTATATGGTTGGTGCAAAATAACACAAAGGATGTTCAAAATATTTTGCTCATTTTACAGTAGACCAATAAAGGCATCAATACAACACAATTACATATCTTGAAGTTACATCATAACTTTGAAATACCACTTACTTCAATGTCATGACTAGATCTTCGGATGATACCATTCTTTTGATCTGAATTACTATCCCGACGTTCCATTTTAATGATTCTTCTCCACCTATAAATACAAATAAATAAACATATTAATTTAAAAAGTAATCAATTTATCCAGCTCCAGTTCAAAATGCATTTTGAAAAAATTTCAGACAAAAATAATTTGTAACCAAAACAGTAAATTATTTTTAATAACAAATTTAAGTTTGAATATTTTTAATCAGATATAACTTCATTTAACTGAGTTGTAAAAATTTGGAATTTTCTAAATAAATTCAGCTCATGTTTTTGTCTGAACTACTAAATGAATTCAGTCTATGTTTTTGTCCAGATTAAAATAAATTTTGTAAATGAAGAAAGAAAAAGACAATGCATTTTGTTCTAAAGCTACTCAAATAATGTGCCATTATGGGTTTAAATTATATAGATAATAAATCATTTGGATATTTAATTGAAGAAAATAATAATTTTCAAAATATATCTATTATCTCAAGTTAAAGATTGTCTTATATTAAATGACTCCCTGGATAATGCCAGGATAATGCCTTAAAGAGATTAAAATGTATAAGTTACTTTGAATTCTTAACAGACTAGAGAAAGCAGGATTTCTTTGCTTATTAAGTATCTGGAAGAAGGAAAATTACTGAATTCACTGGCGTTCAAAAAATAACCAGTGACAAGAGTTTTAAGGCAACAATGTAACCCACTAAAGCAGAGGTCTCGAAACTTTTTGGCCTACAGACCACATTGAGATCTCCACTAAGTCCTGCGGGCCATGGCTTGTGATGAAATAAGAAAACATGTTCCATAAATGATACTTTAATTGTGGTATGCTTTTCAACAGAAACCAACTCGTGCAATTAACATTATAGTAACCTTGTATTTTAGTGATTCAATGAATTTCATATTTTCGTAAAGAAGTTTTTAAAATTTAACCAAATGAAATGAAATGAAATCAAAGAAACATTTGCTGACTGGATTGAAGGTGCTTGGGGGCCGGATCCAGCGCACAGGCCGTAGTTAGGAGATTCCTAAATTGAAAAATCGGAGGCAAATAATAAAATATTAAATACAACGCTTTAGATATACTTACTTAGGTGTGAGGATTTCTTTGTAGTTGAGTTTCTCTAACCTCGTAGCAGAAGCCATACTGTATGGAATCACAATGTTATCGATATCATAAGAATTCTCCCTTTTCCTCCTGTAATAATATAAATCATTTATATAAACTGTTTTATTTTACCACAACTTTATTTTTGAATAAAACAGAGCATAGTTAATAATGCTATGTTTTATTATACGCCATGTTAATACACACTTACATACTAGTTAGTATATAAGACTGTTTCCTGATAATATAGATAAGTATCTTTAAGAAATCAGTGGACTTATTAGCACTATATTAATATAGAGATGTAATAAACCAATATATAATTCTTAGCCAACTAAAATAAATAAATGATATTAAATTAAAAAATTTATTATCTAATGTATAAGAAGTACTTACTTTATAGTTTCCTTATCTTTAGAAATAGGAGTTGCAGTGTGTTGAGTAGTAGCTGGAGACGGAGAAGGTGATGGATATCGAACACTACCACCTTGCTCAGCATCCTGCTCCAAGCCTTCTTCACTGTCAATGCTGCTTAAACCTATTAACAAACATCAATTATTGCAACAACAAAAAGATGCGGTAATCAGGAGCAGAACAAGACAAGTATGGCCCTTTAATTGTAAGCATTGATAGGGCACCACTCAAAAAAAAAAAAACTAAGGTGTTGTGCTTTAGACCACACGATAGAAATGAAAACATCAGCAAGGCGAGATTCTTAATATGAAATATAAACTATAAATAATAGCTCATTAAAAAAGGATGAAATGCTGAAGAATTTCCTTGCATACAGTATGCAGGTCCAATTTTTAGTTTCTCCGATATTTTAATCCATATCTTCCATAAAACTCGATTTCATTTGGTTTCGACAGTATTTTTTTCCTTTTCACCTCTTTAACATGGTGTCGTATTAAGATACAATTTTGAATAATAGCCCATTACAGAGTGGATGAAAAACTGAACGATTCCCTCGCTTACAGTATGCAGGTCCAATTTTTAGTTTTTGAGACATTTTAATCCATATGCAAGAACATTTCAATAAGTCGACTACAGTCAAGGAAAATTGCTTTCAACAATTATAGAGTTAAAAATATTTGGAGGCTCCAAAATTAAAAAATTCAATCGATGAATATAAAAATATAAACAGGTATAAAACGATTCATTAGTTTATTGTAAAAGTCATCAAGTAACATTTTATTGAATTAAATAACTGATTTGATTAATTTTATATATGTAAAATTCAGAATTTTTGGAAATTTAATGAAGTTAAGTGATGTTTTGATACCTTTAGAGAATTTAGAATTGTAAATATGATTTAAATACACAAATATAAGCTTTAAGATTTGAATCCAAGTCAATTCAAAAGTGTACTAGATGACTTTTCGCAATAAGCTGATGATTATCATACAACCGACAAAGTTCAGTAACTTTACTCATGCTCAGGCAAAATTTAGTAATATAGCTTAAGAGACAAAAACTTAAGAGAAGATAATTTTTAAAATTAATAATCATATTTAAATTAATATAATTACACTGTAATTGGCTTCTTGCATCAATTATCAATTTTAACTCGTCGATGAAGATTACATTTAAATAATGCTTGTTCATTTTAACAAACAATATAATATTGTCAAGAAAATCTATTTAACACACACAATTGGTAAAGCTACAATATTTTCCAGCCATTGTTGAAGTTTGCTTAATGAGTAATTCTCTTAAACTTTATAAATACACTGTAATATTTCTGATTTTCAAGAGTTCAAATTTTACTATTGATGCTGTTCTTTTAATCACAGAATAAATATTCTAAAAAAAAAAAACAATTCAGTTCTCAAATACAAATATAGATTTGTTTTACAGTGAGTGTCTATCCGATTGGTTTTTCACAAGGCTTACAGAAGACAACTTTTTCATCTATTTTCAAGTTACTGGAGTAATTTGATATCCAGATGTTAATTTTTCCAGATCCTATTTTCGACATTATTTAATTTTTTTTTTAAATTTATAATAATAATGAAATTACTATAGTTTCCTGCAAAGCTAGAAGAGAGAGATATCATGGCTGAATAATGAGTGAGAATAAAATTAAAAACAATTAACAATAAATGTCTATTTAATGAAATAGCTTATTTTAAGAAGTAATTTAATATCCAGATATTAATTTTTCCAGATCCTATTTTCGACATTATTTAATTTTTTTTTTAAATTTATAATAATAATGAAATTACTATAGTTTCCTGCAAAGCTAGAAGAGAGAGACACGATGGCTGAATAATGAGTGAGAATAAAATTAAAAACAACTAACAATAAATGTCTATTTAGTGAAATAGCTTATTTTAAGAAGGCAGTTTTTTTATAGTTATCCAATATTTTAGGTAAATTCTATTCCAAGAATATTTCCCATTTTTACTACTTTGTTTTGTAATGTTAAACTCAAATCGTTGTTAGTCATAGAATTATTTATCTTCCTCATACATTTTTATCTTTAAATTATAAATTTAATATGGATAAAATAGTAAAACAAAAATATAAATATTTACACACACATGTACACTGATGTTTATAAACCATCTCAAACTAGCACAAAAAGTGTAAAATGAGCAATTTGATGGAACAAAAATAAAAATTGTGAAATTTAGGCCAAAAACAGCAATACGTGCAATATCAAATATCAATATGTCATTCAGTAGATCATGAAACAGATAGATTGTTGGCTTTGAAGTTTTCAGACACAAGGGAACAAAATGTTTAATACCAAGAAAATCCGGTTTCCTCCAGTAATAAGCATCTCATGATAACTATGGCATCAAAAAGCTTCTTGTAAGAATTAATCTGTGGGTTTGCAAATAATCTCATAAACTGTTGATTTTAGATCTTAAAAAAAGACAAATTTTTCCTGTTTCGATCCATCAACTTCCTAATATTCGAGCTTTGCAACAACCTACTTTTTTTTCAATGGTTTTTAACAGAGTAGTATGAATTAATTGATAGAAATCAGGATTAGTCACTTCTCCATGAGATACTATCTTTTGACACCTTTGTTAAAATTCATTGCTCTTGAGAGTCGGAAAAGGGATTAATACATCAGTATCATATACATTCTAGTTTATTACTCAAACATAAATACAGAACCATAATATGACAAGAAAAAAAGAAAGTTATGTTAGTAAAAAACAGTAAAAATAAATTTAGATTTATTTTGAGGACTTTACCAGTTGAATGTTTTCGCCTTTGCCGGAAACCTTCTAAATTTAAGCTAGCATTCCTTCTCCTTCTTCTACCTCTTACGATTTTTCTACGAAGCTCTAAAAATAAACAATGAAAAATATGCAATTAATATTAATGTTGTTATTTAAAATTGAATAAATATTTAATGTCAATAGGGGAAGTGATAAGGTTAGATACACTCCTGTAAGGGCACCCCTCATACATTAGCCAGCCTGACTAAATTCAGACAGTGTCAGTTTTGATAGAGGCATTGTGAATATCCCAAGTTAGTAAATGCTGGTCAGTTAATAAATGGAGGATCCATCATTTCCTGCAATACTTGAATTTTATATTCAAACAATCCAGTTTTCAATAGAAACTAAGGAGTTTCAATAGAAAATCAGAAGGCCATGCATGTTGAGTATGTGTGAGGTGGCAAAAAATGGAAAGATGATAAATTACATTAAATTAAAAGTTGATCATGAGTGCCTAGCCACGAATGCCATTTATTTATGCACTGACATAAGTTTTTTTAATGAAATGGAGAACATTTAAGAAAAAAAATACGTATATTTAATCAATTGATATCTCATGTAACGAAGCCATACCCTTAGCTAACCAAATATTTATAATTTTATGATTACAAAATTGGCTATAGTAATAGTTAAAATAAATTTTTAACAAATAAAACACTATATAGACAATACTAACTGACTGATACAGCAAGAGCAGCTGCTTTACTTCTTTGCAGATCCACAACATGATGCTCATTATTTCCAGCAGGCCTTCCTCCTCTAGATTTTTCTTCACCTGGGACTGATGGCTTGCCCTGTATCCGACTTGCACGATTTTGCCAATCTGAACACTTCATTACTGCATTATAATGTACACTTGCTGAAACATCTAAACCAGAATAGTTGAATTAATAAGAGGAATAAGTAAATAATATAATAAAAGATACTGACTTTTTTTAAATGTTTGAAAAATGAATAGGCACCTATATTGTACAGATATTAATATATATATTTATTTATAAGCTATTGAAATGTAACAATATAAACATTTTCAAATTCAACATTGTTTTTAATAAAATAATCGACTGCAAGATTTTGAAAATATAAAACAAATCTTGAATGTTTCACTAATTTATTCTATTTAATTATTCACAAATTTATATAATTCCAAGTTTTGATATAATGAAATACTATTATGTGGGAGTCTAGTATTTTATAATGAATAGAATCTATTAATGTAGAACATTATTTCCACAACTTCATCACTAATTTTCAATTTCACAACCAACAGATTTCATTATTTCATCATGTCCGTATCCATCAATCTGAGGAACACCACTACATGGTATACATTTTTTAGCAGGTAGCATGAATTGCTCAGATCAATCTACATGTTAACAAATTTCTATTTATAAGAAGGATATAATGTATCACCCTTGAAATGCTTTCTAGTTGCATATAGAATGAAAACCTTTCTACATCCGCACCATTACACACATGCACGTTAATTTATATTCATATTTACCATGAGCGAAGGAGAGCACTGGGTGGAACCCTGGATCGAGATAGGCTACTCTTTGAGAAACGGGTAGAGTAGAAAGAGGTTCTGCTGGTTGGCCTGGTTCAGAACGACTAGTACAGAGCCCACATCCTGGAAGGCTTGTGTTACAGGAACAACGAAGGCCAGCATTTCGAGCGGCTTTTTTACTGGTTCGATGAAGTCCACTAAGTTGTAAAATTCGACGCTTACCAAACGAACTAGAAACTAATCCACGTGTCCTACTACAGCTACCTTCCCCTTTTTCGCTGTTACATCTAAAACATAACAATTTAACATGTGAATTTTTTAACACTATTAATAATACACAAAAAAATTATGAAATATACATACAAATATATTAGAATAATTTGTTTTTAACAAGTCCAAAGCCTACTTCAGAAACCATATTGAGAGCAAGCAAAGATAGATTGCTAAATATGAAAACCTAGCAAAATATCATTTTCTTTGAGAAATAAATCATGTACCATCAAAGTTATTTACTTTGCTTCTTAAAGTGATAAAAATATTGCTCCATTAATGTCAAATGTTTCGTGACACTATATGTGGCCCACCAGTGGTAGTTAAGATATCTTCTCATATTTGGTTATAAAGTTCAGTGGATTAACATAAGTTTGCTTATTCTCCGTCAGACAATGTTTCTCAAACTTTTACTGCTGGATTGTTTCTTTGTAAACTATCTCCTACCTTCCTGATTCTATTTTATCAATATAAAAAAGTTTAGTTAATTTAAATTATTCTGGAAACATGAGAAAAATCTCTTTACTGTTAATTTATTAAGAACATTGCTATTATTATTAATAAAATCCTTAGCGTTGTTTGATCAGATATTTTACACTATACCTAAATTGTAAGGCTCATTCATTATACCGATTAAGTTGACAGATTCAGAATTTATTCTGATTGCTATTATTTGAGAATAAATTAAAAACCAACTACACAAATGGAATATGTTTTTCTTTTATAACCAAATCTATTTTATAATGACTATTCAAAGAAACAACCAAAACATTCAAAAAACGTTTCCTTCTAAAGCACATCTTAGCTTACCCATTTATTTAAAATTTAAAAACAAAAGGTTGAACTGAAGGAAAATTATGCAACAAAAAAATAAAATTGAAATTGCTTTGCAATGTTTGTCAGTCACTTACATAACACTAACTTATATAAAACAATTTCATTGAAGACTTAGTGTTGATCCTACTTTTCCTCATAAGTACCAACTGATCTTAGTGATAGCAAAAAACAAAAAAAAAACACAAAGTATTATTTTACTTAAGTACTAAAACAAATTTAGACATCATGAATTTATTGCAAAAAAATCATAAAATGACATTCCATGAAATTAAATCACTATGCACTTCCGATGAATTAATGGATTGTGCACTTCCAGTTTGTTTAAATTAATAAATAAAATTGAAATTCACAAAAACGAGCTTGAAAGTTAAACTAATTCAAAAATGTACTAAGCGATTTTTTGTAATAAACCAACGATATACTTATTAAATAACTATGTAACAAAAAGAAACATTAATTACCCATTTGGAAGGTTATGAGACGTTTGCTCTTCCTGGAACTTAAGACTTCCTTTGGATGATCGGACTTGGCGCCGGATGTCCGTATGTTGACGAATACGATACTCGAGATCTGCTATTTGCGATTGCAACCAAGTCCACTTCGCGGCAATCAATGCTCGTTCTTCCGCCCATTTCCAGCTTGCACGTTTGCTTCTGAAATAGAAAAAAAAAACTCATTAGTCTCAGTTAAGCTTCGTAATTAACATACATGATCAATTAACTGTAACTTCGAAAAAGTTTTAGAATCAAAGGTACTTGATATGGATAAATCACATTTTGAAAGATTTAGCCATTGAAAAATACAATAATTAAAAAGAAAATCCATTTTATAATATTTTTTTTTTTTTTTTTTTTTTGAGATTTCGTATGAATTAACCTGACACATGGGTGAACCAGACCTCCCTTCTATAATATTACTCAATAAAGAGAGGTAGAGTGACTCTTTATCATAAGTTTATATTGTAATATATCAAATATTACAGAATAAATTATACATCTACCATATACCTACCCAACCTCGTGTAGAATAGCTAACTATTCACATTCTAGTTCAATAATGAACAGTGAATTAAGAATTAATCCTTAAAATAATTTTTTAAAGGTTTCTAGAGAGAAATAATAACGCTTTAAAACATAACTTTGGTATAATAATGCTCTTATGTTAGAACAACCGTACAACGGTTGACAAATAAGATAGTGTTTTTGTTTCAACCGATATTACATTAATTACGTATACAAATTAAATTTTATGGCACTAGTAAAAAAATAAACGTATACATAATATAAAAAACGAAATATTAAACAAACAACCCTCAGTGGGTTGTCTATTAATACTAATGATAAAATATCGATGTTACATCAATCATGAAGAGCGGAGTGATGACATAGGATCCAAACAGAACCAATTAATAACAACTCAATAGAATTAAATATCGCGAGGACAAAGAAAAAATACTACTTATAGTATGCTCAACCTTCGAATAACAGTTTCCAATTTATTAGAAAATTGCACAAGGCAATTTAAAAATATAATAATTACCAATAAAGTTTAAAGTTTATTCTTTGTTAAAAAAAGAAGTTTTAAGTTTAATTATTTTACTCGATCGTAATAACTTCTCAAATAATAAAAAAAGGAAGAAGTTAGGAATGCTAATGGATAGGGTGATACGACACAAGTTTTTGATAAATATTTTCATTTACGAACATTTTCTTAGCGAACTGCTTTCGCAACAAAATATATCACGAATGAAGGGATCGTTATGCCACAACATAAGCATCTTTTTGTCCCAATTTTGAGAGAAGAGAACAATATACGTACCCCTGGAGGCAGAGCCCACAAATCAACCTCATCGGAAGGGAAGTTTTGAATATTAATTGCGATAGTATATGTTACTCTAAGTAAATTGTGAACCTTATTTACCACTCCAGACCCGCAGCTTTAAAAAATGGCGCATAATTTAAACAATATTAGGTCAGTAATTTTAGAATCGAAACGGGAAATATATTGCGAAAAGTTGTCATTTTTTAAACTTGTGTAAATGGTTTCAAACATGTAAAAAACAAAATTGCTAACGCGAGCGACTAAGGGAAAGCTTTTTACAGCCGAAAAAGCCATATTTTTTGATCTTTTTTATTTTTTCACCAATCTCCTAAACGATGCATTGAAGCGAAAAATCTATACTTTAAGAAACTAAAGAACGTTAGATTGTGCGTCGAATGAGTATCCTAAAGTTAACAATTTGGTTTAGTGGTATGCTAGAAAACCATGGTCAACAAACGCAGATTTTAACCAAATTTGTGAAAAACCTATACAATCGAAGTTATTTCCCGTTTCGATCCTCAAATTACTGACATTTTAAGCTCATGTTCTGAGAATATCAATTATATTTGTCATATCTTAGTTAAACTATATGTGCATTGAAAATTCGGTTTGGTGGTAGGGATTATAATTTTAATCTTTCGTTGTTGGTTCTCCGAAAGAATTGATTGGGGATATATTAACCCGCCTCCATTTTATTTATGTGCAAATTTGTCAGCTCAATTCAAAATTCTAGAAACATGGATGAAAATAACAAAATGAACCACGTTTAAGAAAAAAAAATTAAACTTCAACCCATACAATAGGGATCGAGTAATTCCTCTATCTGCAGTAGCACAACGAAATATTCACGAGCCAAGCACAACTTCACTTCTAAACACTCGTGCTTTGGGTAAAGTGGAAACGGGGCTAAACGAACAAAGGAATTATAGACAAAGGAATACTACACACCTTTCAAAATACTGGTGGGGACGAATGGGACGACCAGTTCAAATACCGGGAGTGACACTTACCCACCGTCCCATTTGTCAGACGACACTACTACTAGAAACATTATCCATATTACAACAATCGTACAAAAACACTATTTTAAAATGTTCCACCTTGCCTACATACAAACCTGGGTAAATGCTACTCTGGGTACAGAATATCAAGTATTTTACTCAATTTTAATCACTATTGGGAATTCAATCACTACTTCAGTTAATCGTTTGACATCAACTGAAGTAGTAATTAAATTCTCAAAAAAAGGTCAGTATTTCAGTAAAATGGTTGGTATTCAGTACTTAGCGTAGCATTTGCCCATCCGCGCAATCACGGCAGCTTCCAAATTAACAAAAAAGGATATATTCCGTAACACAGATAATGGCTACGGAAGGCTGTTTGTATTTTGTATATATTGTATTTTTTTCAATGAATTCCAAAATATTTATTTTATAGAGGGTTTAGAATAAAATTTAATAAAGAAAAATAATATTATACTAAGGATTTTAACTTCTCTGAAATGAACTACTTTTCAATAGGGCCTTTTTCATTCTTAGATAAACTTTTTCGTTTAACAAAAATATTATATATTGTTTAATACAACTGAGTTGCCTTACAAAATATTTTGAATTCTATAATTACGATAGTTATGGTAATAGGGCCAAGTGAGAGTACAATTAACCGTACGAGCTTAGCTTAGGAAGTGAGGATAGCGTGTATCGATCCTAGCTGGCGTGAATGACCTCATGGCCTTAAAACGGGATCTTTTAAACCTATTATACTATCATGCTTAATAAAACTGTAAAAATGATTAACAATAAAAGAAAAAAATGACAAGAACAGCGTAATGTTATAAATATATAAACTCATCATTTTTTTTTTTTTTTAATTTTGACCTTCATTTTTATTTTCTATTCACACTTAAGTATATGCCATAATGTCAGTTTAATAACAATAAAAATTGACTTTTGATAGTTATTTATTGAAAGTTTCGGGGGATCCCTCTTCAGTAATATTTTATTCTCCCAAAAAAAATTGGGTGTCACAATGATATAAGTTTGGTACAATGTCTGGTTTTCATTAAATCATTTCATAGAACAATAAGTAATCTTAAACTTTAAGGATTTTTTAAAAATTAATTTAACCCATTGAGGTTACTTATTATACACACTAGGTTGTATGTAAAACCGGAAGCTACCATATCATTCAAAGGAAATAAGCTAAGGCAAAGAAAAGCTATGTTATTAATTGGAGAAAAGTAAATCCTTCCCCCTTATATTTGATTACCACTTCATCTAGTCTATTACCCAGAAACCTGAAAATAATAATTTACACAACTATCTTCCTTATATGGGGGCGGATTGGCCGAGCGGACTAATGCGCGTGAAAAACAAGCATTGCTCAGCAACCAGATGATTGATAAACAGAAGTTTATTAGATATAAAATAATTAAGAGTTCCGGTACCGGTGCCGAAGGAGCTTTTAACTCTGGCAATTAATCTCCCTGGTCCGGGAAAACCCTGTATAGCCTAAAAGACAAGTTAGAAGTGGACAAAATAATAAATAAATAAAAAACTATCTTCCTTATCGATAAAAAACACGATTGCTTACTTTTAGAGGAGTTTAAAAATAACGCAATATCATATTTCGCTCAAAAAAGAATAAATCAAATTGATAATTTACAACTTCTCTATTGCTTATATAAATTACCTATGGTTCAAGGTCTATGATTTATCATTCATAGAATAAAATCTATGAGTTCAGAGTAGTCGTATTTAAGTACAGTTAATCCATAAGAAACGCAAGCAAACAAAAATAAGCGGAACTTCGTAAAATCTATTCATTTAGGTATTAGGTATAATGTAGGAGCTGTGTTTAATTAAAAAAATGTAACCTCAATTAAGTAATTATGACATGAACATCGCTTGTAAAATGTTCACAACCTTCAGCATTTCACGCTTATGTAATTCTTAACAATTAAATTAATTAATTAATTTATAAGTGGAGATGGTTGACCGTTCGACATATCAAGATGGGCCGAAAAACGGTCAGAAAAACATCAAATGATTTTTTATTATTTATTAAACGCAGACGCTTTGACCGACCCACACTAAAGGTCTTCCTCAGAGGAAAATAGTTGCACGGGTACTTCACTTCCTTTTCTTTGTCTATAAAGACTTACAATACATGTAGACAAGTCGGCATTCCAAAAATAATCAGAAGTTATTCAATGTTTCCTTCTGATACAATCCCGGGCCTTCTTGATTGATTTTTTCAATTGTGCAATAGAAATTAATACAGTAGGATTTATACACTATTACCTCCAAAGTTGGTTAATGGTCTTTGGACGTGATGTTCTTTAAATTTAAGCTTATCAAGTAAAATACGTATCCGCATCCGTTGCGAAAGTATATTTTTTTTGTAGTTGATGGAGTTTGGTAAAAGTGACACCTAACTGATCATTTTGTCACCAATCCCTTACTTCCTTGAAACTTAGGGCTAAACAGAACATTAGGATTATGGGTTTAGGTTTTACAATGTTAAATTTGTCTGCACATAAGCAAAATCATTTCACTAATTCCCAACTTTCGTTAAATTGTGATCCAAGTTGGTGGAACCGTTTTTAATACATAGGAGTGTCTATGAAAATACGTTTACGCATGCGTAAAGCGACAGTAGTGGATGGAATTGATATGGGGCCATCAATATACCACTCCGTACAATGTCTACAAATTTCAATAAAATTGGATTAAAGTTAGTAGATGATATTTCATGAAGGGGGGAGGGCAATCGTTATGGCCCGTTATGGCTTACAAGATTTTATTTTGTAACTTCTAAATTTATATATAGT